CATGACTCATATTTTCTAGTCCACTAAATATTCCATTTTTTAAAGCAGTGGCTGTATAATCCTAATTTTAAAATCTTTTTTTTCCCTTGTTGGGTTTGGTGCAGGGGTGGGGTTGGGGAGTGTGGAGAGGAGAAATGTTGTATGTACTTATTGGGCCATAGTGAACATCAAAAATCAAACGTTCCACTTTCTTCTTTATAATTTTCTGAAACTTTTTTCAAAGAATTAGTATTGCTTTTGTAATCAGGAAAGTGCCAATTCACATACTGCTATTTTAGAATAAAAGGAGACAAAAGAAAAAATAGGGGGCCTCCTTCTCAGATACTTACCTACCATTTCAGCCAGCTTGGCGTGTCACTTATGCATGCAACACTGCATATGGCATCCATAGCTCCCCATGTTTTCCCTAAGTTTAGTGGATCACACCAGGAATACCTCAAAGTTCTGCTTTGCTTTTGGTATTTGGTCAAAATCTGCTGTTGTGTTGCTACTTTGGTTTTCAGTTTCTGCAAAGTTGATGGCTCAAAATCTTGTATGCCATTTTTTTGGCATCTCAATTTGTAGGTAAACAATGATCATTTAATAGTATGGGTTATTGTCTCTAATCAGTCTAACAACATCAGTATTCTGAATAAAGCAAGTCATTTTGATTATTTTAAATGTTCAAATATGCATTTTCAAATGCAGTTAATCATTTTATCTGTGACTTAGACTGTGACTTAGACTGAAATAGCTTTATATGCTTTTCATGATAAAATTCTATCAAGCAATTGAAGTATACATTTCATTTATTAGTACAAGAGTAAAATGCAAGAATAATTGATGATATTGTGAAAGTTGTTAATCTTCTGGACAAATTTAAGAGTTTTAAGTAGTTAAATAGGAAAATAATATTTCATATAAATATTGAAATAGTTTGTTGCTTATTAGTTTTAGAAAGAACACTATATCCTTATAAAGCCAATAGATATTTATAAAATTTAAATTGTACAAAGCAGAATAATGGAAATTAGATATCAGAATTCTAATCTTTGTAAAATCGTCTGGTGTTTTGTATTTATAATATTAAATAAAACAACTTTTCAGCACTGTGTTTTTAGCTTCTTAATTCCATTTAAGCCATGAATCTTATCATATTTTATACATGAGTTACAGAACAATTTCAGTTTTGCCACCCAAATCATGTATGACAGTATCCAGTATAAATTATTTTTAATCTGTATCTAATAAAGAATATGAAGAAAAGAAAGTGTTAGAGAAAAATGAGATATTACCTCCAAGATATTCTGATTTTCTACCAATCTCAGTTCCTCACTTGAAAAATGAGCATCTATCTGGTATACCAAATGTGTGTTTTAGTGACTGCTAGAACAATCTAGCAGCTACAGTGAAGACTAAATGTCCTTCCTCTGAAATGTCAAATGTTTAAATATGATTACCAAATGTTTAATAATAAAATTCCAATGTTATTAAATTTTGAAATAAGATTTTAATTTTATTTCAGTATCCCAGAGACAATCTGATGATATTGGGCTGAGGCATTGACTTCCGTTGAATATTTTAACTCTCAGTTATTGAGTATTTGGTCAAAATATGTCTTAGATGCACCTCTCTTCACTAATATTACTTAAATAAAATGAAATAGAACAGAATTGACTAGAATGAAAAACATCTAAATGCATTGCATATAGTAAGGGTAAGTACTGTTTTGTCAATGTTTTGCTTGTTTGTATATGTATGTGTATGTATATATATACACAGACATACAGAAAATGTATGCATGCATACTGGGTTATGTTACAGTATGCATTGCTTATTGAGGGCCATTGACCATGGTAAAGAGTTTGAAATCTACTAAACTAGAAGGAGGGAAAGTGTTTGATGTAGAGCAGGACAAGCATTAACTGCTGAAGTTGCTAACAAAAGATAGTAATGCAAAGTTTGGAAGTGTTGTTTTTTTGTTGTTGTTGTTTTTTATAAGCAAATACATGACCAGATTTAAGGATGGATACAACAGCAATTAGAACTTAAGTACAAGTGGGAGGGAAGAAGGAGTCAAAACTTAGTGAAATAATATAAAATAGCCAGGAAAAATTGGAGAGGTAAGAATACAGGGATCATGTTAGCTAATAATAATAGGGATAATGATACATTATATTTCTTAACACCTCCTGTGGTTATCACAACAATTTATGCTCTGTTAATTCTACTATATTTGATTCTTACAATAGCCTAATGAGAAAGGCAGAGCCAGCATTGGTAACCCCATATCGTAGATAAGGAAAGATTCCATTACTTCCTTAGGAATACACAGTTGGGAAGGAATAAAGGTGTGTCTTAAATTCAAGCCTTCTTACGATTTTGTGTTCTTCCCAACAAAAGAGGCCAGTTGAGAAATGAAGGGTGGAACCAATATGTCTGGGGAAACTAAGTAAAACAATCACTTTCTGTGCTCATGAGATCACTGAAGCTCTGTATCAGGCTAAATGACTGGGATGTGTCTGGAGGATTAATCATCCAGAAGCGGAATTCCCCTCATCATTCTCCAGGGTGTCTAAAGAAAGAGACTCGACCTTGCACCAGGAACAGAAATAAAAGTGATAGCAGGCAGACAAAAACGGAGAATCAGAAATCTCTGTGGCAGTCCCCTCCTCAGATGGATGAGGTTGAACCCTCTGGGTTTCGTTGATATAATTAGAAGTTTACAGAGATTATAGCGCTTTTCTTACTCTAATAAAAATAAAGAATATTTGCCCCTGTTTTGTCATTTACAAAGGATTTTCACACCTCTTATCTCGTGTTTGTCGTGAGAAACTGACGTTTTATAAATGAGGAAACAGCGGCTTAGAGAAGTTAGCTAATCATTGGAGTATATGTGGTGAATAAGAAGCAGAGCCAGGACTCAAAAGGCAGTCTTCTTCTTACAGTGCTTATGTTATATCCACTTTACTCTGCTGGCTTCCAAAAACTGCTCCCTAACATTTTCAGTAGCTAACTTTGCCAATATAGATTATTATTAATAAAGTTGAATGAACAGGGCAGCATTTTTGAGGCTACAGTCTAAAATTTAAAAAGTCTTTTTATTGACTGAGTAAAGGTGACCATTGGCAAACCTGGGGTACCTTTATTTTGGGGTTCTGTTGGATTCCACCACAAATTTTAAAAAATACTCAAATTTATGAAAGACTGAACCATAATGGGCTATTTATGAAATTACAATATTTGGACATAACCCTAACTTTTGAAATTAACATGAAGGAGAACACAGCCTGTGAAAAACAGGTCACTCGGTACAAGTAAGACATTAAACTGTCCACTTAGTGAAGTCTTCATCTGGTTACAACATCACTCACTGCCCATTTCAGACTTTGAGCCATAAAGACATCATGGGAAATGCTCACTATAGTAATATAATGCATGTATGAGTTTAGAGGTAGGAGAGTGAGGGAGTGATTTCTTCTTCATTAGAAAGTTCATAAAAGAGAGATGCTTTAGTTTGGTGTTTTAAAAGGAGAACACCCTGGTTGAGTGGGCAGTGAGGGTGGCAGTAAGGGATTTCCATTAAGTAACAATAAGCTGTAGAAAAGCATGAGAATATGAAATGGGAAATGGGAAGCCACAAGTCACCAGGTGTTCTGTGTGGGACTGGATAACAGGCTGGGGGAGGGGTGCTGGAAGTGGAGGTGACTAGTGAAAGATGGCATATTAATTCAGGTCCTAGGGGGTTTGAAATGATAGTGTTGATGGTTTGAGTCTTTTTCTTTTGTTGAGTCACTAAGTTACCATATGGCTATTTCCTTACCCATCCAAATCTTCCCAATCCTCTCACCTGGCTAATCCTTGTTATAGATTCTCTCTTGTATTCCCATCACTAGACACTTCTTTTCATTCTCCAAGCATCTCCAAAGGCAATACTAATTTTTTTTTTAACTGGGTGAACCATTCACATATATTATCACCAATAACCTTTGTACATTCTCATAATATAAATGCCAATATGATTACTTGGTGCTACCTCTTTCTTTAATTAAATTGCCAAGGAATTTTAATCACTCTCCAAAAATGTTTCTATTACATGGTCCTGAAAACTTAAGTTCCAGGTTGGCCATATGGGAGAATGCAGACTTATGTGGAAAAGATCCAGACTTCAAGGACTGATGAATTGTGTAGATGCTTATTATCTCTGATAGCCATTTATTTATTTATTTATTTTTAATAAACTTATTTATTTACTTTATTTTGGGCTGCACTGGGTCTTCGTTGCTGCACGCAGGCTTTTCTCTGGTCGCGGCGAGCAGGGGCTACTCTTTGTTGAGGTGCGCAGGCTTCTCATCGCGGTGGCTTCTCTTGCTGCGGAGCATGGGCTCTAGGCACGTGGGCTTCAGTAGTTGTGGCACATGGGCTTAGTTGCTCCGCAGCATTTGGGATCTTCCCAGACCAGAACTCAAATTCATGTCCCCTGCATTGGCAGGTGGATTCTTAACCACTGCGCCACCAGGGAAGCCCCGATAGCTATTTATTTATGAGGTCTAAGATGCAAGGAACTTGAATTGTCCATAAAAGAATGACTTCAGTTGGGTGTTAAGCCTTTGTAACTTTAAATGGATAAAAGAGAATCCCATGTCCGAAAAGAGTGTTATAGAATATATTTAAAAGTTTAGTCCTGCCTTGGAGTAGCCTCCCCTCATTAATTCGTTCTACTATCTTGATCTTATTCTGTCCTAGCTGTGCAGACAACCCATCTACTTCCCCAAATCAAGTTCTTTCTCCTATATTTATTGCTCCATACCATCTATGCTCTCTTGTCAGATGCAGACTTGCTTGTGCTTTGGAGAACCTTCTCCCTATCTCCAGGGGCTGGGTTTGTAGTCCTTTTTTCTCTTCTACCCAACCACTGCTTAGTAGGCTGCAGAATTTTCACTGTAGGTGCTGTGGGCACTGCTTTACTTTTTCTTCTCTGTAGAATCTTCTAAGACCTTCTGTGAAACAGGCCTATCTTCTCAGGAAAGCTTCCTGCCAGTGGCCCGGAGCAGAGCATCCTTGACCTCTTTGTTCCTCAGAGCGTACACCACAGGGTTCAGTAGAGGGGTGATGATGGTGTAAGTCACTGAGATCAGCTGACCCTGATCCTTGGTGTTCTCTGACTTGGGCTTGGGGTAGACAACGGAGGCACAGCCATAGTGGACCATGACCACAGTGAGGTGGGAAGCACACGTGGCAAAGGCCTTCTTCTGGCCCTTAGCAGAGGCAATTTTAAGGGTGGTGGAGATGATGAGGATGTAGGAAATGAAAACCAATCCCATGGGAACCAGGATCACCAGGATACTGATGATTAAAGTCAGGATCTCATTGACAGTCATGTCAGTGCAGGAGAGCTTCATCACAGGTCAGATGTCACAGATGAAGTGGGCCAACTTTGTAGCACAGAAAGATAACCTGAATGCAGATGTAACCTGTGTCATGGCTACAACCAGCCCAAAGCTGCAGGCCTCCCACACCAGCTGGATGCACACCCTCTTGTTCACGATGACAGAGTACCTCAAGGGGTTGCAAATGGCCACATAGCAGTCGTGCCCCATTGCTGTGAGCAGGAAGCAGTTGTTGATGGCCAAAATGATGAAGAACATCTGAGTGGCACAACCTGCCAAAGAAATGGGCTGACTCAGGCCTGTGAGGTTACAGAGCATCTTGGGTATAATGATGAGTGTGTACATGGTCTCTGAAGCTGACAGCATGCTGAGGAAGAAGTACATGGGGGGTGTGGAGGTGATGATCAAGGCTAATGATGGTCATAATGATGATACTGCCTGCCAAGGTTAACATGTACAGTGCAAAGAACATAATAAAGAGAGTGAGCTGGTGCTCATGGAAGCTGGAGAAACCCTGGAAAGTAAACTCACTCACCAAAGTGTGATTCTCTTTCTTCATTAAATCATAGATGGCAGTTAAGAAAGTAAAAAATTATATAAGGAACCTAGATGGTTGATTTCTGTCAATAGCAGGCTGGGCAGATTCTTTTGGTTCATCTACTTCAGGTCTCTGCTTATTTATATTCATACCCATGCTCATTTCTTTTGGGAATAAACAGTGGAGTAATGTTCTTTGCTCACTAAGGAAAAAATACATGGTTTTTCGAGTCAGGCGGTATAAACTCATATTTTAGTTCTATCATGGGCTAAGTTACCTTGGGCAAGGAATTTACATCTCTAAGAGCAGTTTCCTCACGTTTATATGGATGCAATTGTGATAACATCATAGATTTGTTGGTAGAAACATTTTTAAACTGTTAAGTATCAACTTATATTAGAATTCAAACAATTATTGAATCCATTCAAGTTCAGTGGTGTAATGTCGTGCAAAGCTCCAGGCTCTGTAGCTACCTACTAATTCCCAAGCTTCTAGGGTTTAAGGTAGAGCTCTTGTCACTATGGTTTACACACTGCGTTCTCATTTCAGTCTTTCAACTCTGATGGTACTACTCCTCTCAACTTCTGTGCTACAGTCCTCTTCCCTAGACACTACTCATTTTTCAAAGCTACACAAAGCCCATAACCTCTGTAAAATCCTTTCCTATTCTCTCTCTCTCACCCTGCTCCCTCCCTCCCCCCAGCCCCAAACACGTGTCCTTGCATGGAGGTAGCATACAACTGTATACTAGCTCTTTTGTGTTGAAAGCACCATAGTGTATTTGTGATTACAAAATATGTTCACATACATTATTTAACTTCATCACCATCCAATGGAACAGGGAGGGCGAGGATTATTGTTTCTCTTCAGAAGCAGAGACTGAGGATCAGCTCCCTTTAGGTAACTGCCCGTGGACACACAGGTGTCAAAGGATGAAAATCAAGACTTGAACTCATGTCTTCCGATCCTGTGTCCATTGTTCCTCCCATTACACAAAACTGCATCATAGAACTGTCCCCATCATGGCTATATTATATAGTCTTTGAGAGTAAGGACCAAGTATTTCAACTCTTTATAACCCTATGACAACTGCAATGTAGGGCACAATGTCTGCTGATGGAATCGTTGCAGGTAACTGGTCCATCAAACAAATTGCCTGTTAGAAAGCAGAGTGCTGGGGCACCACAGCGAGCTCTTCTTCAAAGAAGAGGAGTTTTCAATGTTTTTTAACCTCTGTCTCCTTTCCCTCTGTCTATGCCTGTGACAGCAACAAACAATTAAAGAACTGGGCTGAATTTTAACATTGGATTTATAACTCTAGAAGAAAGCTAACACTATGAACATCTAATTGGAAAATATACTGGTAGTGTAACTTTTCTAGTAGCTTTTACCCTATTACTAAACAAACATATAATTATGTAACAGGTTAGCTATAAAAATAAATTTAATAATAGAATACATGGAGTTGCCTAAAAAAGTGCATTTTGCTGGAAGTAAAGCAAATTAGCCACATTGAAAAATGACTCACTATTGGGTAAATTTCAAAGGCAAACTTCTTTAGTGCTTTTAAGATTAATCTATTTTTCAGAAATATAACATTTTAAATAAAGGAAATCTACAAAACGGTATTTATAAGGGATTGCTACACAGTTACACTTCAACCCCTCCAAGCATGATATGAAAAGACATGGTATGAGGTTGAAAGAAAACTTTTATGTTAGACGTCAGGGACCATTTCTTAACAAGGAAAGTTGTTTGGCTTGATGTGTGTACCATGGTAAGTAACTGTAAATGTATCCTATGAGGCTTTATAAATAATGTCTCTGTGGATTATGATTTGTGTGAAGACAAGAATATAGACAAGGAAACATAGCTGCTAAGTAGCAGAGCCACATTCTTTATTACCATATTAGTCAAGATAGTCTTTAATTCTGGAAGTCATTATTCCTTAGGATTAGCAGAGGATCTTTGAAAGTGGTAAATTAAGGCTAAAGAAGAACAAAAATTCATATACACCTGGACCCTTTCCAGCTTAATATAATTTGACCCTTTAACAACAATAAAACCCATACGTGTATTTTATTCTGTATGTGGCTACCTCTGTAAATGACTGAAGTCTTTTCCCAAATCTCACTTACTTTTCTTCCTGCAAATCTGTGGCTCAACAGAAAAATGGAGGTAGAGATCAGAAACGTGGCCCATTGGTCACAAGTATTCACAAATCAAGGTCATGAAACAAAGGCACCTGAACATGGTCCTTCTGCCTGCTTTAGGGCCAGTCTAGGGCTGGAGGTAAAAGGAAAGTTACAGGGGGCTCCTCAGATACTAGATATTCTCTCCAGCTGGGGGAGGAGCTTTTGACACCCAAGAAAGGCTCTCTGGGGATCATCTCTCAAGGTTTCTGGGTGACATTCCCTGAGCACCCTCGAGAGTCACCCTGGGGCTAGAAGCAAGCAGACGGCCGGTGCCCAGGGACCTTGTTACATAGAGGGCACATTCACCAGATTATATGGGTTTGTGCTTTGGGACTCTCATGGCACTTTGCACTGCAAGTAGAAACAGCAGTGGCTTATTTGTCAGGTTTTGTTTTTTAAATAAATATTCTATTTTTATATAGCTGGGCCTTGGAAAACCATGGTTACAAAGCCCAAGTGAGCTCTAGCTAAGAGCCTCTGTCTTGGATTCCAGGAAACTATGCATCTCTCCCTGTAGTCAAGAACCTTGCTCAGTATCTTTTTTTTTTTTTCTTCTTCTTCTTCTTCTTTTCTGGAACTAAAACAGTCAATCTGGCTATTGTTTCTGTCCTATTGTGGGATTCAGAAATGGTAGACCAAAAGCTCAATAGACAGTAGAGACCTCTGCAGAAGGCCAGGAGACCACTGTCTGTGTCTAAAGAAACCTGAGCCAGGATTTCATACCCCAGGCCTGTCCAAAAAAGCCTGTCCACAGGGCTTCACAAGCCCAGTCCGGGGTTACCTCCACACTGGTTTCCCAGCCCCAAGTCCAGGCATTTTTTCTCCCCCTAGGAGCATCTTATTCTCACTATTTTCCTCTTTTTTTTTTTTTTTTTTTTTTTTTGCGGTACGTGGGCCTCTCACTGTTGTGGCCTCTCCCGTTGCGGAGCACAGGCTCTGGACGCGCAGGCTCAGCGGCCATGGCTCACGGGCCCAGCCGCTCCGCGGCATGTGGGATCCTCCAGGACCGGGGCACGAACCCGTGTCCCCTGCATCGGCAGGCGGACTCTCAACCACTGCGCCACCAGGGAAGCCCCTATTTTCCTCTTTTATATTGGTAAAAGACAAACTGAGGCATATTAAAAATTTTAAGCTTTTTTTTTTTTTTTAACAAAAATCAATGCAAATTGGGCAGTGCCAAACCAGAAGTTGTTAGGGGTGTCCCAGGGCCAGGAACTCAGGGAGAGACTTCTATAAAGAAAAAAGAGAGGCAAAGTAAGGAGAGTAATGACTGGCTGTAGCTTAAAGCCTGGTTGGCTTTTTGTGATTGGTTGTCCCGAGGCTTTGATTTTATAACCTGGAGGCATTTCCAGCCTTAGATTTTAGTTTGTTTACATAGGCTGCCATGGCATTGGAGGCCCCTCAGTTTGATGGCCTCCTTGTTTAGTTAATTTAACAACATGTACCTTATCTATCTCATGGCCAGATCCTGACAATTCTCCAAGTTAATTTTTCCACACATGGCAAAAAAATGAAGTGCCTGCATTCATACCTTGATGAACTTAAAAAATGCCCCTTGTACTTGGTTTGTTTTTTGGTTAAGTGGCGGGGGGGGGGTTGTTTTTTTTTGTTTTTTTGGGTTGTTTTTTTGTATTCCTGCTTCTCCTCTACTGAATTTGTGGTAGCTTTTAAATTTAGAAAACTATAGAAATAAAGGTTTATAGCAAACATGAAGAAGTTTATAATATTTGCTCTTATCCATATCAGTTTCAGAGACATAAGAAGAAATGCTAGCCAAATCAGGGTTTCTTAGAAAACTCAAAACTTTTCATTAAATTATCATTAATGAAGTTAACGTCTCAACTTCTTTTCCTGGCTGTTTGCAGCTGAGTAGTATCTTCATAGCCATTATAGCCTTCAGTGTTTTGTGGTCAAAGTATGATTGGATAGTCTTCCATTTTGGGACCACCCCTGTGATTAAACTTTTTTTTTCTCTGCTCTAGTGAGAGAAGAGCCAATTTGTCACTCTAGATATCATTGCAAACACAAATCAGCATTGAGGCATGAAGAGGCTCCCTGCCCCCAGTAGGAAGAAGGTAGAAAGCCTCTTTCATAGAAGACAATCAAGACAGCTCTAGCAACACACAATCAGGGTAGGAAGAACTTTATACTGTTACAATCTGAGCTCTCTGTGAAAAATTAGGAGACCATGCTGTTAGAGGATACACTAGTGACCTTATTTTTCCTGAGGAGGTATCTTTTTGTTTTAAGAGCTGAAAAGGAAATCTAGCAGAATCCTAGGTTTATGGATAATCAGGAGAGGAAGGACAGTGGTTAGGGTTCTGTTAGGAGGTTGATGGCCAAACAACCTGACTCCTGGCTAGCAGGTCTCTCTGGGTATGGCTGTGAGAACAACTGAAGGGCTGAGCTAAGGGAAGTGCTGTATTCCTGGGCACTGTGTCCCTGGGTGCCTTAACCTCAGTCTAGCATTGTGTGGGTAGGCTTGTCCACATGCATGACTGTAGTTGTCCACATCCGTGCTTGCTTGTACTGAAACTTGGATGTTCCAGTTAGCGGCATAACAAACTACTTGAACTTAGAGTCATAAAGCAACAGCAGTCCTTCATCATCCATCTCTGGGAGACGGGTCTCAGTGAGGCTCTTCTCACATCGGGTCTCCCATGTAGCTGTGGTCAGGAGTTAGCGGGAGTTTGCTCACTCACATCGTCAGTCAATGCTGGCTGTTGACTGAAATACCTACACCTAGCCTCTCCAAGTAGCCTGGGCTTCCTCACAGCCTGTGCTGTGGATTCCAAGAGCAAGCACCCCAAGACAAAGAGC